GTTAGATTTTATGCTTTCAGATGGTAAGGGCAGCTATTTTGAATATAATGGGAAATATTATGGTAATCATGGTTTCCTATTATATTGTTTTGAAGTCCTACCATGCTTTTCTTCTTCTGTTTTGATTGGTTCTATCCTGTTGTGTTTTATTTGATTTTATTATGTGTGATGTTATAGACAAATTTTTTGAGGAAAATGAAGTATTATAGCAGCCACTGCTCATTTCCTGTTATCTGATTTTGAAGTCCTGTAATATTTTCATTCTTTTGAATTTTTTTTACTATATTGTTATATTTGATATTATTGTGTGTGAAGGTATGCTCAACAATTTCAAAGAAAAGAGACATTATGTTAGCTACTGTTGATGTGCAGTTGTTTTGTTGTTAAGTGCTGTGTTGCTTGCATTTTCCTGTTCTGATTTGCTGTGTTTTCTTTTGTTCTCTTTAAAATAAAAAAAAAATAATAATAATCTGGAAAAAAACCACTCAAATTCATACAATAAGAAATGAAAAGGGTGAAATCACTACAGACTGTGGAAATAGAAAAGATCATCAATACCTACTTTGAAACTTCTACTCTCACAGGTTTGATAACACAGAAGAAATGGACAGATTCCTAGAAACAAATGAATTACCAAAGCTGGATCAACAAGATGTAAAACTGCTCAAAACCCAATTTCTATTAATGAAACTAAAAATGTAATTAAAACCTTACCAACAAAGAAGAGCCCATGACCAGATGGATTCACTGTGGAATTCAAAGAGATTCAAAGAAGATTTAATGAAAGGGGAGCAATTCTCCCTAACTCATTCCTGGAAGCAAATATTACTCCAATACCAAAACCTGAGAAAGATCCAACTAAAAAAAGAGAACTACAGGCCAATCTCCCTAATGAACATAGATGCAAAATTTCTCAATAAAATATTTGCAAACAGAATTCAGAAAATCATCAAGAAGATTATATACCACAACCAAGTGGGATTCATCCCAGGAATTCAGGGATGGATCAACATACGCAAATCAATAAATGTAATCACCGTATCAATAGAGCCAAAAATAAGAATCACATGATTATTTCTAGAGATGTAGAAAAAGCTTTTGATAAGGTTCAATATTCATTCATGATAAGTACCTTACAGAAAATTGGAATAGATGGTCTTTACCTCAGTATGATAATAGCCATCTATGACAAACTCACAGTCAGCATCATATTAAATAGCCAAAAACTAAAAGCCTTTACTGTAAAATCAATAAAATAAGGATGTCCATTATCACCACTCTTATTCAATATAGTGCTGAAAATATTAACCAGAGCAATTAGACAAGAGAGATTTTTTAAAAAGGAGTAAGGATAGGCAAAGAAGTTAAATAATCATTCTTTGCAGACCACATGACCCCCAAAACTCCACTGAAAGACTGCTCAGTATAATAACTAAATTCAGTAATGCAGTTGGATATAAAGTCAATACTCATATATCAAATAGCATTCCTATACACAAACAACAAACTCAGAGAGAGAGAGAGAAATAAGAGAAGGCACAACCTTCACAACAGCATGCAAAAAATTAAATACTTAGGAATTAATCTAATGAAAGAAGTAAAAGATTTATTCAAGGAAAATTATAATACCCTAAAAAAGGAAATTGAAGAGGATCTCAGAAAATGGAAAGACGTTCTTTGTTCATTGATAGGAAGAACAAATACTGTGAAAATGGCCACTGTCCCAAAATTGTTATACAGATTTAATGCAATCCCAATAAAAATATCACTAGCATACCTCACAGATCTAGAGAAATCGTTCCCTAAAATTCAGCTGGAACCAGAAAAGACCTACAAATAGCAAAGGCAATTCTGGGCAACAAAGACAAGGCAGGAGGCATCACCATCCCTGACTTGAAGCTATACTACAAAGCTACTATAATAAAATCAGCAAGGTACTGGAATAAAAACAGACCTGAAGATCAATGGAATAGATTAGAAGATACAACTACAACTACACACTCAGCCACCTTATCTTTGATAAAGAAGCCAAACACATTCACTGGAAGAAAGATAGTCACGTTAATAAGAGGTACTGGAAAAACTGGCTTTCCATATGCTGAAAACTAAAACTAGACCCATGTCTATCACACCATGTACTAAACTAAAGTCTAAATGGATCCTAAATATTAAAACAGAAACACTAAATCTGCTGGAAGATAAAGTAGGTAGAATTCCTGAAGACACAGGGGTGGGCAGAGAATTCATGAACAAAATCAAACCACACAAGAAATACTTCCCAGAATCAGTAACTGGGATCTCGTATTATCAAAAATTTTTTGCATGTCAAAAGAAATCTCAACATAGTAAAAATGAAACTCATGAATTTTGAAAAAATCTTAAGTGAACTGTCCCTCAGACAAAGAACTTCTGTCTAAAACGTATAAAGAATTTTAAAAAACCAGACCCCCAAAATTCAAAGACTCAATCCAGAAATGGACATCTGAGATGAATATACAGTTCTCAGATGAAGAAATACAAATGGTAAATAAGTATGTGGAAAAATGTTCATTGGTCATTAGAGAAATGCAAATTAAAACCATACTGAGATTCCATCTCCAGAAAGAATGGCCAGGATCAGAAAAACTACCAACAACAAATGCTGGAGAGGGTGCAGGGAAAAAGGAACTCTTCTGCACTGTTGGGAGGAGGTGTAGACTGGTGCAACCAATGTGGAGGCCAGTCTGGAGATTCCTCAAAAAGCTGGGATTTTCACGCCTGTAATCCCAGCACTCGGGAGGCTGAGGCAGGAGGATCATTGCGAGTTTGAGACTAGCCTGGGCTACAAAGTGAGCTCAAGGCCAGCCTGAACTGCATAGAGAGACCCTGTCTCAAAAAGACAAAAAAAAAAAGCTGGGATTGGAAGTCTCATTTGACCCAGCTATTCCACTTCTGGGCATATTCCCAGAAGAACTGAAAACACCATACCACAGTGATATATGTGCACCCATGATTATAGCAGCACAATTTGTAATAGCCAGATCTTGAAAACAACCTAAATGCCCATTAACTGAGGAATGGATAAAAAAGATGTGGTACAATAGAGTACTACTCAGCTATAAAGAATGATCACACTGAGATTTTTATAGGTAAATGGATGCAACTTGAGACCATACTCCTGAAATAAATCAAACTCACATATGTAAACACTGTATTGTTTCCATAGTATAAGAAACAGTAAGAGTATACAAGGTACAAAATCCTCAATGAATACTGTGAAAGGGTAAGAATCCGCTCAAAGGGGGGAAAATTAGTATCTTAGGGAAAAAGAAAAAAAAAGGGAAAAGAAAAACTATCTAAATTTGTATAAACACACTTAAGATAGCTAAGATAATTGTGCTATAAATTCTATTAGTTCTTGGAACAAAACAGTTAACATTCATAGGATTGGATAAATTTTGCAGGTTTGTGCTGGTGATTTGAGCAACTCTTAGATCACTATGCAAAATAGCAACCTTAGTTATGTTCCTACCAACTTGTTTTGAAAGCCTATATTATCATTGTTTGGGTTCTTTGCTATTATTTATTTGTCTTGTTTCTTATTTTTCTAGTAATTTGTTTTGTTTTGTTTTTCCCTCTAATGCAAAAAGGATAGATGTACATATTGAGACTTATACATGCCTAGAACTTCTCCTAAACAGTTTAGAGGAATTGATTGAATTATGCATGATGAAATGAACAGCTACTTTGAAGAAAGAGACATTATAATATTCATTTCTGATTTCCTATCATCATGTTGTGAAATCCAGTAATGCTTCTTAGTTCAAAGTGGTTTTAGTCTGTTTTGTATTATTTAATTGCACATACAGCTGTCCAAGGTATGGACAGCTGTTTTGAAGAGAACAAGAGACATTGTGGTAGCCATTGATTTTCCTATTGTCTGGTTTTGCAGCCCTGTCATGCCGTCATTACTCTGTTTTGATCAGTGTTTATACTATTTTGTATGAATTCATTGTGTGTAAAGATACAGACAACTATTTAGAAGAAAACAAGAGACACTGTGGTAGCCAATATAGATTTCCTGTTGTCTTTTTTGAAATCCTGTTGTTTTACATGACCTTGATTTTTTCATGTGCAGAATTGGAGTGAATCACTAATCATTACACTAAAGGCCCGATTACCTGACCAATTCAAAATTTTAGTATTATTAAATGATAACAAAGTAAATCTGATTTACTTATGATAGTTTCAAGCTGCCTCCATTTACCTATAAAAGCCTCAAGGTCATCATTTTTATAGCTAAGTAATATTTCATTGTATAAAAATATCACATCTTTTTCATCCATTCTGTGATTGATGGGCATTTTGGTTGTTTCCAAGATTTGGCTATTACAAATTGCACTGCTATAAACATGGGTGCGCATATACTGCTGTGATGTGACCTTTTCAATTTTTCTGAGAAAATACCCAAATGAATAGCTGGATTGAATGGAACCCCAATCCTATTTTTTGAGGACTCTCCATACTGATTTCCATAGTGGCTGCACCAGTCTACATTCCAACCAATAAATCAGACTCACATTTATAAGTATCATACTGTCTCTCTAGTATAAAAAATAATAATAAAAAACTGAAACAGTAATAAAATCCAAATTGTGTAATGGATATTGTAGCAATGAAAGGGAAAGAAAGTGCTCTAAAAGATATAACTGATGTTTAAGTGTGCAAGACGGATAACTATTCTAAGTTTTTGTTAATTCATCAAACAGAATAGTTTCTACTGTCATTGCCTATTTTATGCTTTAATTTTATTAATTTGAACAACTACTTCTAAGATAACAATATGTAATTTATCAGCTAGTGACTTCATACTGTTATTTTTGGGGTAGTCATTTATTACTGTTATTTTTTTGAAATTCTGTATCATTTCTATCTTTTTTCTGTTTTGCTTTTTTCTAAATAAAAAAAGTAAATGATAAAAAGCTTTAGAGAAACAACTATATTCCTTCACAATAGCCTACCTTTCACAAACAAACTCAACACCATCCGATGACAAATTAAGTTTTTCACTTGCTTTTTCTGAAGGGTTAGAAGGTTCACAGTTCACAGAAGTCAATATTTCATTTCGGCTATGAACTGACTCTTGACTCTTATTCAAAGTCATAGTCTCTGAATTTTCAATCTGTTACATGGATAAGGAAAAAAGCATTTGAGAGGAGGAAAAACTTTTACTTGAAAAATATTCTTGCATATACATGACAAAAATATATTAAATTATGTGTTTTTCAATGGCAGATGCCCATAACTGTGATTTTTCTGCCAAAATGGAATTTTTAGAAACTTTAAGAAAATAAAAATTATGGTACAAATCAACTTTTTAGCTTAAAAAAAGAGGGAAAATAAATACCTAGGTACTTAGGTAACACCTTATTTCTATTAGCCTAAATTTTAAGAACTAATAAACATTAGACTTTAATAAGGAAACTTGTGAATTTTATTGTATTTCTAATAAAGACTAGGGAAAAATCAGACTGCTAAATCACTTTTCCAATTAGTAAAGTTTTTTGAAAACTTGGAGCTGAGAGGCTGGGGATTTAGCTCAGCAGCATAAGCACCTGCCTCGCAAGCAGGCGGTCCTGAGTTCGATCCCTGGTACTGATAAAAAGGAGAAAACAAAAAACAAAAAACAAAAGCTTGAAGCTGAAACACACTTCCCACGCGTTGGTTTAGAATGGACAGGATTTAAAATATGTCCTAACTGCCCAATTCACAGACTTTTCTTTTTTTTTTTTTTTTTTGTCTTTTTCCTTTTTATCGGTACCGGGGATCGAACTCACGACTGCCTGCTTGCAAGGCAGGCACTTATGCCACTGAGCTAAATATCCAGCCCCCAACTCACAGACTTTTCTAAGGAACAGCATGAATAAAACTATAGATACACCAAGGCAGAATTCTAAAATCTTATTAAATAAATAAATTTTACATGAAGAGTAGGTCTAAAACAATATTAGAAACAGCAAAAGTATTTGCTATTCTTTCAGGTCTAGCACAAAATTTTCCCTGCTCCTCTCCTCCAACTATAATACTTACAACTCTGGAAATAATTCATTGGATAAAAAAAAAAAAAAAAAAAAAAAAAAAAAAAAAAAAAAAAAAAAAAACCTCAAGAAATTAGGTATCCTTCTTTTAGCCCAAACTGACAGCAATGGTAGCTATCCTCCCCCCAGTATCTGCAGTGTCAGCTGGGCATCCTGGCACCGGAGGTCGTGGCAGTCTGACTGCAGCAGCAGTGGAAGCAGAATCCAGCCAGGGACCAGTTTCCAGAAATGCCACATGCAGAACAATCACTGGCTTAATCCAGTTCAATGGCAGTGTGGGCAGCATTCCATATTTGGGGCAGTGGCGAGGCTGCGAGGCCTAAAGCATCAGCTGCCTGCTGGCTCCACACCCAAGGCAACAGCTGGCCCAAACATCTGCCTGGCAGGGCCACAGAGCAAGGTTTCCTCAACTTTCCACGCAACTGCACTAGGGACAGAGTGTCACTTGCAGAGGCTAAATGGCAGATCAAGTGGAGCTCATGAATGAAGCCAACCAAAAGAGTAGATGAAAGCTTTGAAAAGCAAATTGTTATTGGAACTACAGCTCACAAAAGGAAGGCACAATCCACATATTAAGCCTAAATAGGAAAATAGCTGGCTTAAAGATATTCAGATGCCAAACACCTCCAAAGATCCCATGGTGTGGATGAATATTGTGGTCTTTTATCATTCCACGGGATTAGCTACTTGTCCCTATGTTTTACATATCTGTTACAGTAGTATTCCCTGTTTCCTAGTGCCAAAATCTGCATTACTTTCCTATATTAGGCTACCTTGACAAACAAATATAAATGATTTAAAACAGAAATTGCTAGGCATGGTGGCATGTGCCTATAATCCCAGTACCCTGGGAAGCTGAAGCAGTTGGATTATAAAACTGAGTCCAGCCAACCCAATTTAGCAAAACTATGTCAAAATTTAAATGTAGTTCATGTGAAGGCCCTGGCCTCAGTCTCTGGTGCAAAACCCCCAAACAAACAAACAAACAAAAACAACAAACAAACAAACAAACAAACTTCCAAACATACAGACACTCTAGAAATTCATTCTATCATAATTCCATAGGTCAGAAGTTTGAAATCAGCTTCACTAAGTCAAAAAAGTATTTCCTCTGGAGGCCTCTTTTTAGAGATGTTTGCAACCCTAGGCTTGAGGCCTCTTTCTGTCTTCAATCCCCATCATTTCAATCACTGCTTCCATTTTCCCAGCTCTTCTGCCTTTGCCCTTCTTGTATCTTTCTTGTGAAAGTTTCACAGAACATTCACCAATCAAAATTATATGCTGGTATTTAATGTGTCCGTAACTCTTAAAAGTTAAATTTTACATGCCATCTGATCAAAGTGCTATTATATATCAATATAAATATAAGATACAGAGAAAGTCCTAAGCATTTGGAAGATAAACACAAGCACTTTTAAGTAATAGTGCTGAGGCAAGTCACGGTGGTGCATACCTATAGTCCCAGCACTTAGGAGGCCACAGCATGACAATCATGAGTTTGGGGCCAGCTGGAACTGCCTAGTGAGTTCAGAGAACTTGTCTCATACATATACACATACATACATACATAAGGAAAGGGCATGTCTATAATTTCAGCACTCAAGAGACTATGGCAGGAGGATCATGAGTTTGTGGCCATAGTAAGACCTGTCTCAAAAAACTAATTAAAAAAATAAATTTTTAAGTAAATATCTCCTTACACAATAAAGCTCCATAACCAGTTTGCAGATTGACTTTACTAACATTTAAGGAACAAAAATTTTATACAAACATTCAGAGAAGAAAATGCTTCTCCATTAACTGAGATTAACACAAACCTGATATCAAATATTAATAAATATATTACAAGAAAAAATAAAGTGAATATGCATGGAAGATTATAATATAAACAGGGTGGGTGGTGGGGCATCCCTGTAATCCCAACACTGGCAGTTGAGGCAGGAGGAGTGAAAGTTGAACTGAACTTGGTGACTTAATAAGATCATGTTTCAAAATTAGAAGGGCTGGGAATGTAGCTCAGTGCTACAAACAAACAAATGCACAAATACAAATACAAATAAACAAAACCCAAAAATACATTGGCAATTTTGACCAAACACAAGATGGCCTAGAAAAGATAAACATGAAAAACAAGTATGATAAAATCTAGGTGTTAAGTATACTAATTTACTCTATAAAATTCAATTTTGCTTTTCACATTAAAATCAAGGGCTGGGCGAACAATCTAGACAATCACCAATCCCCTTCACTAAAGAGATATAAAACCAGTGACTTTACACTACCTAAAAGCATCTTCTCCAGAGACACACTCATGGAAACACTCTTAAGTGTACTCTCCTTTAAAGATGTCTGTACATTCATTTCTTATAGTTCAACTATTTACACTATGAGTCAACTAGGTTATTAAAACTTCTGTGTTTATACCAACCTTAAAGGGGGTATTATTAGATGTTTTTGATTCCATGCATCTCCTTTGAAACGCTAACACTGCTTTAACACGTTTTTGAAGTTTTGATACTCTTGCCTGGAAGAAAGAAAAGTAAACACCAAACCAGAGTATTATATAACATGGAAAGGTAGAGAAAAACTTATTTGCTGGTATGATAGTCAAGAACCAAAAGAAAAAAACACTTGAAAGTTTTAACTGGTCAACAATAAAATTGTATCAGCAAGTAAACTCTAGAAGAGTATAACAAAGAATTCTAAAAGAGCTTCAAATATTTTATTCAAGTCCTAAAAAGGATATAGTAAGAATGAAAAAGACTACATGTGGGTTGGGGATTTAGCTCAGTGGTGTAAGCGCTTGCCTGGCAAGCATAAGGTCGTGAGTTTGATCCCTGGTACCAAAACATAAAAAGACCACATATATATTAAACATTTCAATTAACACAGAATGTATGATATTTCTAAACATTTCTCAAGAGCTAATATTACTAGCTTATAATAAACTATACTATCTACTGTGTGGTATTAAAATTAATTTGTAGCTGGGAATCAAATTTGGGTCTTGCTCTATTGTTTGCCTTTTGTAATACATAAAATAACATCAAATTCTACTTTTTAAAAGGATTTGAATGAAATGAAGTAAAATTAGACACTTACAAAGAGTTCGCCAGCTATCGCTTCATGTTTTTGCCTGCACTGTGTCTTCTTAATGCGTTCATTCAATTCTTTCACTTTTTTATCAAATAGTTTGAAGTTTATACTATAGATCTCCTGTTGAATCAAATGTTTGACCTAGAATTTTAAAATAAAAACCAAAACATCCAGGGTTTGCATTTAAAAAGAACTTTATCTTCTGTTTCTTTAAAAAATAGCTTTGCTCTTTTCCTGGATTTGATGTAATGGCAAAAATATATTACATTTGTACTTATTTCTATACTCGTAAAAGTTTTATTTGTTGGTTTTTGTTGTTTTTGTTTAGGCAGGGTCTTGCTATATAGTTCAGGCTGACCCTAAACTCACGATGGAGCCCAGGCTGGCCTCAACCTTGCAGTGATCTTCCTATCTCAGCCTCCAGTCCTGGGATTATAGGTGTGTGCAACCACAACCAGCTCTACATCATTAAGCTTCTCTAAAACTTCAGTATTTAAAATTCAGCAGAACATATCCAATATTTAAATATACAGACATGTTAAAAATTAAATTTATTCTCAAAGTATTAGTTTTTTTCTAGTCGATTACTGCTCCATAATATACATTATGATAACAATTACAAGATATATTCATTTATTTTTTTAAATGACTACAAAAAAAGAGCTCTACTTATATGAAAACCACAGCCTGATGAAAATAGTTGGAAAGTCTACAGTAAATGTAAACAAATTATACAAATTTGGGGCTTGATCCTACCATTAACAAGCTATACAGTCTTTGAGAAGTCATAAAATCTCTTGATTATCTCTGTCCACAAATGTGCAGATACATACAGTAAATGTCTGCTGAATGAGTGAAACCTAAAGGATTATATAAGAACAAAGTAATATATGAAAGAGTTCCACAAAATGGAAGATACTTAAGATGATGTAAGGGAAATAAATATGTACCAAAATCACCATTACTTGCGTAACTTTAGAAGTTAGGTTTGCTACGCTAAAATTGAAAGAAGTCACAGATAATTGTGACTAATGCAATCTGGTACAATGCATGCTATTCTGAAAGACTGAAGTAACTATATTTTTAAAAATTCATGTATTCCCTTATCTTTTTTTTTTTTTTAAAATAGACTGGCTCCTTCTTAGGAAGCATAATTAATCTCAACATCCAATGATAGGAACAGTTCTGAAGAGTCTTACATTCAGAAACATTGTAGTTTTATACTTAAGTGTTTCTCCTGTAAGCAACTTTTCCCTGTAAGCAACTTTTACAACAAGAGTGGTCCTTTAATAATAATACCTGTAACGATACACTAATGACATAAAGAGTAGTAATTATATCTTGATACGTGTTATGTTGACTTCCAGTATGTAAAATACTATGTGCTGCAGGTTGTATTTTTTTATTTTTTGGTTAACTGTATAGAAAGTTGTCCGTAAATCTTTGTTAGAGGGTGGATTTCTCTTAAAAAATAAATTGTCTTGCACTTGATATATGGTTTCATGGTGCACAGTTTCTATGTTAAAGCTCTTTTACACTGATATTGCCTGGATAATTAATTGTACAGTATTATGTAATTTTAATTATTCTCGGTGTTTTTGCTTCTTGTTGTCAATTATTTTCCCTCTTCAGCATTGTCATCTACTTGTAAGTTTAATTATTCTCAGTGTTTTCGTTTCTTGCCAATTAATTTCACTCCGGCACTGTCACTGACTTTTCCTGTAGTACTTCAAAATGTACTGATAGTAACAGAGTGTTCAAAACATGTTAATTCACCACATAAACCAAAGCTTGGAAACATATACTGTTTTTACTGAAAGCAATTTTTTTTAACCTATGTGTGTTTTTTATGGATCATTGCATGACTGCTAGTTCACTAGCTAAAGTTAATATGTGAAGCTCATACTCAGGAAATCTTGGAGAAACATATCTATTAATTCTTTGAACATGTGTTTCTCAAACTTCCCTGGAAAGAAAAATCACATGTGATACTTGTTTAAAATCACAAATTCCTAAGCCACATCCTGGATCCAAAGAATTCTCACTTTAAACAAGTACTCAATGATTCAGACAGAAGTGATCTTAAAACTTGATTATCTTACAGTATGTGCCCAACAATGGTGATTCTTCTTAGAGTAGATCTTATTCTTGTTTAATGGTATTGGTTCTTTATTCAAGGAAAACACAATGACTTCCACCAAATATCTCTTTTAGCAACTTACAAACCCAATTTGTTCTAATCTTCTAAATTGTAGATAGACTGAATAATTTGGGAGTTTGGAGGAAAACCCCTCTGGAGTCAGCTAGGTCTAGAAAGTTTTGAAACCTCAAAAGATCAGATACAACTGCTCTACAACTTTTTCAATAGGGAAAAATGATCTCAGAGAGATCAGAGAGCCTTATAGAAATGAGATTCAAACAAATTTAACATATAGATATGGTTTCAAGAGCTGGAGTTGTGTATTGTCTAGCTTGAAGGTGGAGTGCTTGTCTATTCCTAGGTTCAATCCCCAGCACTGCAAAACCAAAGTATCTGATGCAGTACAGAGATAGTTCTATGAACAGGAATTATTGAGAGATAGGACAAAAGAATTTGCTAATATTCATATTGCTGCTTGTACAAGAAATGTACAAGATTGTATAAAAAACTTCTGAGAAAGATAACCAAGATGAACTGCATTACTTAAATTCACCAGGAAGTACTATTATTTGTGAATCAACTCAGGTGGAGTGTTTTGTAAAGTACAGAGTACTAAGAACCATGATTTTTTTAAATGCCAATGAAATTACAATGTTCAAAGACCCTATTACGGGGCTGGGGATTTAGCTCAGCAGCATTAAGTGCCTGCCTTGCCAGAGTGTGGTCGTGAGTTCGATCCTCCTCGAAAAAAACAAACCCCCCAAAAAATCAAAGACCCTATTCAATTTTGTGTTTATATGAGCATATCATAATTTGTTTCTGAAATAGTCACTGATCATAGATGGCATCCTCAATGTTTTTATATTTCTCAGATAACATGGTCCTAGGGCTTGATCCATGCATATACAACTCCTTCTCTGGCAGCAATAGAAGAATTACCTATTTGTTTTTTAAATTAATGTCTGTTGCTATTCTTGGAGAAAGCTGGAGGTGAAAAGTAAAAAATTGACAACTTACCTTATAAGCTGGTTCTAAAAGAATCTTTTAAAGGTTTTTTTATTAAGTAAATACATATTCATAGACTATCATTCATAGGCTATCAACTATGTAACTGTAATGATCTGTTTTAGCAAACAGAAGTGATGTTTTCCCTTAAAACAAATAGGATTGTTTGGATTGAGAAATTTTAGTCTATTACAAACAAGAGGCATTTATCTCCCATATAATCTCTTTTAGTGGTAGCATTCTAGTGGGAGTGATACAGTAACACTGACCCTCAAAACAAGTGCTGACTATAGCCATTCTACTTGAAGCTACTTTACTTCAACTTAGAGTTGATTAAATATATAGGGACCTTGTAGAATAATAAATTATATGGGGCAAGGTGAAAATGAGAAGTATATTCAGCAGTGCTCTAAAATAAAATATCAGCTAATGCAACATATCTATATCAGTTTGGTTATTAAGGAAAGCACACCTTGTATACAGCAGGTCTTTGCAATGGACTTCTAGGTATCTGAATCTATGAAATTGTAACGACTACGATGAGATCTACAAAAAGCAGACTAGAACAACAGACATATTTAGCAAAGCTCAAACTCTTATTGTCTGACTTACACAAAGATTTAACCATAATATTGATTTCTTTTTTTTAAAGCCCATTTTCTTTCTACAACAGGACTTTATGTATGTATGATTCCCCGGGTCACTAGGTCTTAGATCATTTTGATATTGTGCAGAAATTAGAGATATTGTGGTAATATAAATAATTACCTGTCTGCTATTTCAGTTTTCACATACCATAATCTTTGCATCAAGTTAAAGTCACTTATACTGTTTCACTATGGAGATCAGTTAACTTTTAATACTCTTTACTACTAATCAAAAGTAAAGCTTTCTCAAGCCCATATTTATGCCTCAGTATTTTACCTGTTCCAGCACTGCTGTTTGCCTTTCCAGAGCAACACAAATATTTTCATTAATTTGCTCTGATGTTTTCATGTGCTTAACATTTTCTTTGTTTTCTGAAAACATCTTCTTTTGATTATAGCCTTGGGAAGATGGAAAGAATAGAGATAAAAATACTTATTAAAACTGAAATGAGAATAAAGATACTTTAAACAAATGGAAAAATTAATATGATAACAGAATTTTTTAGAAAATTTAACTGCGTAAAAACATTCCCACAAATTAGTCTCTTTAAAAGAAACATGAAAACCAAAAACCTCTTAGAAAAGATTCTAGTATCAGATATATTTCCCCTTCAATCTTATTTGATACATATATACCAAAAAACCCAAATTATATCATTTATTCAATTTATACTGCAGTAGTCCTACATTTTTTTTTTATTTTTTAATTTTATTATTTTGTCTTTTTGAGACAGAGTCTCACTATGCACTTCAAGCTCGTTTTGAGCTCACTTTGTAGCCCAGGCTGGTTTCAAACTTGCAGTGTTCCCCTTGCCTCAGCCTCCCTCCCAAGTGCAAGGACTACAGGCATGCGCCACCATGCCTGAAATCCATGAAATCTATTCAATATCCAACATAAAAACTTCACTTCTAATGAAATTTAGTTTTGCTATTTTAATAATTTTATAACCCTAGAACGTGACTTCATAATAATTTGGCATACACACATACAAATATATATACTTCCCAAAGAACACACAAATTTATATTTAGTATATATATTGTTACCCAACACCTTACAGTGGCCATGTGGTTTACAAGTCAATGATACAATAAGAAATGGCTTTAGTAGTATGTGCCTTTAATGCTAGCATATGGGAGGCTGAAGCATGAGAATCTCAAGTTCAAAGCCAACCTAGGCTACAAGGCATCTTTACTGCTGGCCTAAACAACATAGTGAGATCTGGTCTCAAAAACAAACAAACAAAGCACCAAAAAACCCCCAGTTTCATCAATATTTAAAAAAAAAAAAAAAAACACTCTCAAAAAACCTTCCAAATAACAAAATATATTTTAGTCAAACGACTGTCATATACCATCTTTTGTACACAGGAAATAAAATCCTTCTTTGGAACAATAAACCACTTCTGACAAGACAAATTTTGTTAAATTGAAATCAGGTTTGGCCTAAAACTGCCTATATGCTTAAGTTTCACCAAATCATTTTTCTGTACGTAGTGCAATCCAGAAAATAAACCAGCTTCTGACCCCACTCCGTTCTCCGGCCTGAATTTTCTCTTGTCTTAGCTTTCTATCACCCACCATCAAGTGCCTCAGCCTGAGCCCCTACCAATAGGTAATGTTTTGCTCTTACTCTGTTCTGCTTTGTAACCACAACATTTAATAACATCTGTACCCATTATTCCTGGTTTCTCCCCCTCTAACCTCAAAAGATAACAACTCTTGTTTTGCTTCTGTAAAATTCCATGCAGCCTGGCCATGGCCCAATCCAACTAAAACAAAGATATAAAATCCTAGCTTCCCCAAGGTTCAGAGTTTAGGGCTCAGAGTTTTGAGTGCTTAACTCTTCTAGGCCAGCCCACTTAATAAAACTTCATTTCCTTCACTTATCTAATGCCCTGCTCGTGTTTCTCACACCACGAGTGAATCAAAAATTGCTGTAACATTTGGTTCTCTGACTGAGAACTGACCACGCTGGTCCCTTGAGCCACCAACTCTTACCGTCGGATAGTGGCCTCCTCCAGCACTCCTGGTGAAGTGCTTATGGTCAGCTCAGTCGCCTATCAACCAGATGTCCATCCATGAAACCCACATTCCAACTTGCATTCTGGAAGACAACACCCATCAGGCTGACCAGCCAACTCTATACTATCAACCCTTCACCACCATGCATCTTCTGAACTGGAAACAACATTCTCTCAGTCAGAAAAGCCTCAACCCCTCATTGGTCTTATGGAATCCATCTTTCAGACTTATCTGCCTCCCTGGGTAACTACTGTCAGTTGCTCCTCATCCTCTTCAACACTAAGGAGTGATATAAAATCCTAACTGAGGCCAGAAAAACCAGGATCTAGCCCCCAGCAATCATAATCCAATGGACTGGCCAAAAAGAAGTCAAACCAGGATGGGACTTTCATACTGCCGCAGGACAATCCTTTCTACTGTGGTATTGGGAAGTCATCCTAAGGGGGTTCCAGGCTGGTGCTAAAAAGCCAACTGATGTGTAAATAACAACCACAATGACTCAGAGACCAGAGAGTTCTATGAATGACTTTGTGAGGCAGTCCAAATCTTCATACCTTTTGACCTTGAGGCCCCTAAAAACCAACAAATGGTCAATGCTGCCTTCATAAGTTAGTCCACCCTGGACATTTGGCACAAATTCCAGAAACTTGAAGGATTCACCAGCATGAACACCACTTAACTGCTTGAAGTTGCCATAAAAAAAGACTATAAAGTCATCGAGACTTCAAAGTCCAACATGCAGCAGACAGAAAAATAAAACAGAAAGTCTTATTCCTTATAGCTATGCATGGGAGAGCAGACCCTACTTGGAAACCAGGACTGCCACATAAGGGAGAGAAACCATCAGACCCCCTTGCTCTTGCTTCCAAACCAATATGCTTATTGCAGAGACTGGATACTGAAAGAATGAATAGCCCAAACATAAGGGGTGACTGGAAGTCCCTCAGCCACGTCAGCCCTCCATAATAACCTAAACCCAGTGCCTAACCTGATAGGACTGGCAGAAACTGATTCAGACTAATGGTGCCCCCTCAGGGTCCCTGGGAGCCCATCCATTGTCAATATGACAGCTGAGGGGCCAACCAATGACTTTAAAGATCATTATGGTAGCAGATCTTTCAGTTGAGACCACTCTAGTAGCATTTGTCACTGACAAGAGGGTTACCATTATGGGGGCCACCAGGTTGATAGCAAGTTGTCCCTCCTGCCAGCCTTGATCCTGTTGCCTGGGAGGACATAAATTCCTCTACCTGTCTGACTGCCCAATAAAGCTCCTGGGGAGAGATCTTCTAACCTAACTTAGGAGCCCAAATAACCTTCACACTTGAGGGGCCTCCTAGCCTGACCCTCAATAATTAGGAATGTGTGATTCTGTCAGTGACAGTCCTATGAAAACAATGGTGACTACATACCCCCAATCAAGGAGAGGTTAACCCTCCAGACTTGCCTGAGGCACATCCAGAGATATGGACTGAAAACTTTCCACTGGACATTCAAAAATCAGGTCCAAATTCTAGTGGATCTCAAGTCAGGAAGCAACCCTAGCAGGCTGAGACAGTTATAGATACCCAGGGAGACACAGATCAGAATCCTGGAACACTATAAACCCGACTAAAAGAGGCAGAAATCCTCATAAAATGTCAAGTCACTCTGGCATACCCCTCTACTGCTTGTCAAGAAACCCAGTGGCCACTGACCAGTACAAGACCTCCAAACAGTCAGCAAAACCACTGTAACCCTGCACCTGGTTGTCCCAAACCCCTACACTTTCGAGAGCTTACTTTCATCTAAGGAAGCCTGGTTCACCTGTCTGGGTCTTAAACATCTGCTTGAACCAAGCTACTCAGTCAGTCTTTGTTTTTTTGTTGTTGTTGTTTTTTGTGCTAGATCTGTAGATAAGGACACATCTGAGGTCTCCCCCACCCCCCGGCCAGGGGTAGAGTTTGCTGGGGATTGAACCCATGGCCTTGTGCATGCAAGGCAAGAGCTCTACCACTGAGCCACAGCTCCAACCCCTCTATTTGATTTGAATGGGAATACGAAAAGCTCAACTGGTATACCACAATCCACCAGGACTTTAAGAAACCACCCCCCATCTAATTAGGGAAGAACTTAGCTGCTGACCTGACTGTCTTCCTAGGAGCTCAACTAAACTGTGTTTTGTTCTAGTATATTGATAACTCTTACTGACAACTGAAAAAAAAAAAAGCAGGATTTCTGGGAGAGGACACAGGTCCTCATCAGCTACTCCAGGACACAGAGTGTCCTGGAAAAAAGGATGGATAGGCTTGGCTTCTGTTTGCTACTTGGGGCTTATTATAACTAAGGGACACCACTCCTTGGGGACAGAGAGAAAATAGATCATCTGCTCTGTCCCAAGGAAAAATAACAAAATGAGAATCTGAGTTCTTGGGAGTAGCAGGATTCTGCAGGATCTGGATCCCAGGGTTTGCAGAAAAAGCTAGGCCCAAATGTTGTCCTCATTAGACTGGAAAAATCAGATCTAAAATGGGAATCTAAACAAGAATCAACCTTAAAAGAGTTCAAATGGTTACTCCTCAGAACCCCTGCACCTGGGTTACTATATATAAGCTGAGAATTTATTTAATCTACCTTGTACATGAAAAGGATCATGTAGCTTTGGGAGTCCTGGCTCAGACTGTGGGACCCTGGCAGAAACCAATGGTCTATCTATCTAAACAATTAGATATTAGGCGGCCAGACGGCCCCCTTGCTTCTGTGCCCTAGTGGCTGTTGTCACTCTCATTAATGAGGCAGATAAACTGACTCTGAGGTAAAGCCTTCAAGTAAAGCTTGCCTACTTGGTTCATGAACACAGATGGCTCTCAAACATCAGAACGACTCAGTGTCAAGGGTAACACTGTAAAAACCCTAGTCACCACAGAAACTATTAAAACTCTAAATCCAGCTACCTTTCTACCAACTAAAGAAGGCAATCACTAAAATGACAAAGAAGAAGCCACTGACGAACCATATATCCTACAGATGTGATCTTATCAAAGAGTCAAAACTCCACCCTGTTCACAGTCAGCGGCAGCTTCATACAAGATGGAGAGTATTTGGCAAGATACACTGTCACTACCACAGACCAAGTCATTGAAGTAGGTGCCCCTTCTAAAGGATGGTCATTACAGAGAGTAGAACTTTGGGTCCTTATCTGAGCCCCCAGTGAGCTGGGAAAGACTGTTAAAATTCATACTGATCCAAAATCTGCCTTTTCTGCAGTTCACGTTCACAGGGCAAGATATAAAGAGACAGCACTCTTAACAGCAGGAGGAAAAGAAATCAAAAATAAAAAGGAGATACTTCATCTCCTAGAAATTATCTGGGAGCCCAAGAAAGCCAACATGCACTGTCAAGGACATCGTATGAGGACATCAGAAGGGATCAGATTCCATTACCACAGGAAACCAACTGGCAGATCAATTCACTAAAGGTTGCCTGCCAACAAACAAGGCCAGAAGTCTTTATGCCACTACAAGTTCTTGGAGATGGCCATATTAGCTACCCAGAAGCAAAGCCTACTGATAAAGAGCTATTTAAAAGAGATAAGGCCCTTCAAGATGACTACTGGCACCTGCTTAAAGACTGTACACAGCCAAAACATGGCATAACCTAGACAAAGAAAACTCTGGATGTTATTCTCCTTTGGGTCCAAGAACAAAAAGGTCACTGAAATGATGGTATGGCTAGTACACCCTGCCTGTCACAAGGACATTCAATCTCTCCTACTCTTGCTTACTCCTTTGTACAAGAAAGCCAGTAAAAGATCCATCTTGGAAAGACTACAGTATAGACTCTTGGGAAGATACTGTATCTTACACCCAAGACTCCCATCACTCTGTGCCACTGTGTGTCAGAAGTGGCAGACAAACTGGGACTATTTAAAGATTTACAAATACCTCATTATTGTCTGCACCTACTCAAGATGGACACAGCACAAACCAACCAAGACATAAAAGGCCTGAGAAGCCATTCAGCTCTGCCTCACAAAGTTAGTACCATGATACAGGTTCCCCTTGTCAACTGGAGGGACAACAGGCCTGACTTTGTAGCTGAAGCTGTTCAAAATCTGTCAGACCTCCTACAGATTAAATAGAACTTACATACAGCTTATCAGCCACAGAGATTGAAGGAAAGCAAAACACATGAATCAGACCCTAGAGACTATCATAGCTAAGTTCTGCCAAGAGATAGGAACATATTGGATAGAGAAGTTCTCTCCAGCCCTGCTCAGCATTACATGTACACCCAGACCCAGACCCATGGACTAATGTCTGGAGACTCCTCTGATTATTAGCATTTTCAGGGAGACATTAGACAGGTAGGAGATAAGTAGATAACTTAAGAGATACAAATGGTAGAGAAAATCTTTTCTGAAATTAATAAAACCATCTTAAGAGAGAACCTCTTTCCCCACTAGCAATTTGGTACATCCATTTCAGCCAGGAGCCTCAGTCTGGGTGAAAGACTGGAAAAAGAAGCCCCTCTAACCCATTTGGATTGAATCTCACATGTTGCGCTTTTTACCCCCACTGCTATCAAGAATACAGGCATCACCCTATGGCTCTACCATACCAGACTTAAAAGGGGCATACCCCCCAGACTGCCCCATCAACTTGGGTTGCTCACTCATACCTCCCAAAACCCATCAAAATCCATCTCCAATGCAAACCATTCTAGCCTAAAGCCAATTGGGGGAAGAATCTAACAAATGAAAGTCCTGCTGTGGCGACACAGAGGCTGACCTATCCACACACAACTGAAGCTTGAGGACACTGTTCATGAGGTGCTTTTGATTACCCCATGGACTGTTAGCGTTGGTTTCCATGTCTCCTTGGGCTACTTACTCTGATCTTTGCCACTGGCCTTGCTATGGTCACTTCTGTCCAGTGGACTACTACTGGGAAAATTCTCTTAGCCATTGCTTTTATTATTTGTATAGGGTGTTTCACCAGTATCTCCAGCTCCTTTAGGGGTTATACACTCTTGGCCTAATCAGCAATGTTTGACACCATCACCCTGAGGCTGCTATCCCTTCTTGTTGTTATTGTCATAGGACCACCACATTCAAACTGGTTGCCCCTTACCTTAGGACTTGTTCAGTCTACTATACTGCTGCCAGTGAGACCTAGTTCAAGACTGCTGGCTTTGCCTTTCTGCCTCCACAACCTTCACGGATACCACAGCCTTCCTACCTATAACGTGGTCTCTCACAGAGTCTAACTGGTACCCTGTCCATGATGTAAAACCCCTACCAGGGAACACTACTAACAATGCTCCACTTTGGTGCTCCACTTTGGACATTGCTTGCAGCTGCTTTATCCTAGGACCCAAAGCCTGTGATGTTAAAATTTTCACGCTGCATCTGTAAGAGCCCTCCAGGAGTTCCCCTAGGGAGCCTGCTCCCCTCTAGCCATAACTTTACATTTACCCTACCCATACTAGAATTATAACATTTCTAGTGTGCAACCCTCTCCCAACTACTTACTACATACTAGGATACCTGACAGTTGATACTTCCCAACTTTTAAACAATGACATTTTTGCAGGGGCCATAAATTCCATATATTACAATTGGAATGTGGTCTCCACAGGCAAAATCAGCAACTGCAGAAAAGACTCCACCATATTGGACCTCTACTTCAGCTACCTGCCTTCTATCCAACATTCAAAATTCTAGTGAATGGACATTAGAAGTAGTTCTTCTTACACTGGGAAACAAGACCGGGGGGCTACCTAAAAGACTTATCCAGAAAGAGAATCCCTTTTACAGGGGTAGCCCACGCCACCAGTAGGCATCTGGGAAAGAACCTCAAACAGCCAGCCCCTTAAGCACCTTGTAGACATACAAAACCAATTTTGTTTTATGAATCCAGGACTATTTTGGCTATGGAGCTCTTGCTTACTTCTACCTCCCACAAGACCAATATTCCTCACTCTAAAAATAAATATCATGCCTGGGAAAACAGAGCTTCCAATCCCTTTACAGACCTTTGTCTGACACTGTCAGGCTGACCACATGCTTATATTCCTCTTGACCAGCTTAGGCACTGCCACGGGTGTTGGGAGTTCCAGAAATTGGTACTGCCTCTATTACCTATCAGTCACTTTTTCAAGACTTAGCTGATAACAGGGGCTGGGGATTTAGCTCCCTGCCTTGCAAGCAGGCAGTCGTGAGTTCGATCCCCAGTACCGGTAAAAACGAAAAAAAGAAAAAGACTTAGCTGATAACTTAGGGGAAATTGCCAATTCTATATTAGACCTACAAGAAGAAACAGACTCTCTAACTGCAATAACCCTCCAGAATCAATGCACCTCAGACTTATAGCACAAAAGGAGGCAAGTGTGTCTTCCTGGAAGAATGTTTTTATGTTAACCAATTGGGATGATTCACACAAGGCTGTCAAAAATCTGTAAGATCAGGCCACTACACTGGGACAGTCCCAAACCAGTAGCCTCTGGCCATTTTCCTAGAACAGTTGACCTACCCTTGATAGGGCCATTAGGCTCCATTTTTCTCTTGTTGATGTTTGGACCTTGTGTGTTTTAGTGCCTCACAGAATTTCTTTAAGACCAGGTCCAAGAAATGTTCTACTAGAAAGTAAGAACATCAACTACTGGTGAGAAATCACCTAGCCTGTAGCCCCATGGACAACTGTGATGTCCTATGAGGCTGTGCCTACCTAAGGGCATCAAAGGTGAGAATAAAACAGAAAATAAACCACCTCGAGACTCCACTCCTTTCCTCAGACTTAATTTTCTATCCTAGTTTTCTGTAAGCACAATCAAGTACTTCATCCTGAGCCCCTCCCGAGGGTAAGTTTTGCTCTTGCTCTGTTCTACTTTGTAATTACAGATTTTAAAAAGACTTCTGTACTCACCATCCTCTGACTTCCCTGCTAACCTCAAAAGATAATAATGCCTGCTAAACTGCTGCTTCTGTAAAAGTCTCCTCAGTTTGCATCTTGCTTAACCCAACTAAAACAAAGATGAAACCTAGCTCCTCAGATTTTAGGGTTCAGGGCTCAGAGTCTGGAGTGCTTATCTCCTCTGGCCCAGTCAGCTTAATAAAACTTGGTTCCCTCTACTTTTCCACAGCACTGCTCATATTTCTCACGCAACCAGTAAGTAAAAAATTGCAGTAACAAATGAACAGTACCCTAATCTTATAAAATGCAGCTGTCTCAAATCAGTAATGACAAAGTGACCAAAACGTGCAAGCATTACAGATGCAACCTATAACCAGCCAGGCTGACTCTACCTCCCTTCCCTTGTCTGACCACCTTTATTTTTTCTATGACTACCAACATAACTTGTCCATGTTGTGGGAAGCTTTCTTAGAGCATTTTTGGTCCTCATTGCTTCCCAATTCTAGTATTATGAGTACAGCCAGTTAATTCTACAAAACTAGGTTTGTTGTAGTTTTTTTCTTTAACAATACCTTTCTTCCTCCCCACCCAGAATAGTTCACAACTAAGATTTTCTGAAGTAATTTTTTATCATTCTCATACTTATTTGTATATCTGAGATACTAAAATCCCCCAAAAGAAAACGACTATTTTAATTTCTCCAAAAGATATCTAAGTATATACTTACTGTTATTACCACCAGTGTTGAGTAAGCACTGCCACTTTGACTCTGTATTTTCAACATCTGAAATGCTGGAGTGTTGAGTTTTACTGGATTCTTTAGTCTTCAAAGTGTTAGAAGCACAGTTGTTGGAAATGACTAAATTCACCAAGTTAGGCGTTTTCACAACAGGCATATAACATGAGCTTGAACTTAAAATGTCATTTTGCATTTCATCATATGAGTCTGAACTGGAATTTACTTCTAAATTGGAAGCCATCTTGTTGATTCTGTTATTATCCAAGGGATTTTGAACTAGATCCCTCAACATAGTGGGTGAATGACAAATGGATTTTAGATTACAATTCTGTTCATCTTGAAAATAGGATGATGTTACATTTGCCTTATATTCAAAATGAGTTTCAGAAGTATTCCATTGCTCTTTTACTTCTTGTATGAAGAAATGACTGGAAGAATCTATTGCTTTTCTTGGCTTTTTGTAAGAACATACAATTTGTTCATCAAACCTTGTTTCTGAATGAACAAATTTTTCTACAGGTTTTATTAAATTCTGAGGGAATGCTATGCTGTTCAATAAAAATGCTGAGTTTATCTTGGAATCCAACGAAGAATCAACAATTTCAGGGCGTACACATTCGCCAGTTATGACTTCAGTACTTAAATTCTGATTATTACTTGGAACATTACTGTTGATTGTTGCTGTTTTCAGAACTTCAATAGTCTTTGACTTATTCAGGATCTCTGCTTGCCTCCGGCAACTTGGAGGCATTGTTTTTTTGGCTTTTAATATTCTTCGCTTACTCCTATCTAGACTTGCCATCTTTTATATCCTAGAATTTAAGACATCATATTTAGCATTTCTCCAGTGAATTAAACTTATTTACAGCAGTAAAATAACAATGGTTCTCTAATTTAATTCTATTGGAGATTATTTACTTCCATCTATCACTGAATACAAATAGAGTGAGACTTTTGTTTTCAAATGGCTCCAAGCTCAAGTTCCACTATTACTAACAGCAAAATTTAAAGAAAACCTAACTTTGCTCAATAGTTGAACCAAAACTCCAGCTTAAAAACAAATTTTTACAAGAGAGAGAGTCAGGTGACCTGTCTCTCCATAGACAGAAAGGGGTAACGTCTCAGTCTAAACACTTGTGTGTGTGTGTGTGTGTATGTGTGTGTACCAGGGACTGAACTCACAACCTCATGCATGCCAGGCAGGTGCTTACACCACTGAGTGAAATCCCCAGCCCCAACACCACTCTTACCTAGACAACATATAATGATAACATGATAATCATTTAGTTATTTCCATTGTTCTGTCTCCTAGTCCTACTTCACATAGACAGTCTCTTTGAAATGACCAATCTATTGGAGTTTTTTATTTTTGTCTTTTTTCAACTTTTCTGTCTATAAAAACAACCTCCTCATAAGATACATTCTATCTTATGGAATGAAATATTGGGCATTCTGAATTGAAAATTGCTGGGCATGGTGGCACATGCCTATAATCTCAGTATTAAGGAGGCTGAGGTAGTAAGCTGCTGTGAGTTCAAGGCCATATGGGACCATACAGTGAGTTCACAATTGGCCTGGAATACATAGCAAGATCCTGTCGATAGATAGTTATTACAAAGGCAGAAAAAAGAGGGAGAGACAGACAGACAGACAGTTAGTTTTAAATTGGCTGGGCATGATGGTGCCAGCCTGTAATACCAAGACTCCAGAAAGTTTTTACAGGAGTATCCTGAGTTTGAACCTAGTCTGGGAAACTTAGAATTTCTCTCAAAAATTTTTTCTTTATTCTGGACATTTCATATTAATGGAATCATGCTGCATATAATCTTTTGTGAATGCCTTCTTACATGTTATTTTAGGTTACCTATATTGTGTAAGGCAGAGGGAACTTCATTAGCTCAGAAATGTTTGCTTGCATTGTGAAACACTTGCATACCAAGTTACTCAGAATTCAAAGTCTGACTCTACCTTAAAGCAGTCAAATATCCAGAATATGTAAGCAAATGTAGCTCTCTAAAGTAGTACTGACTGTGAATAATCATAGGGTGACTTTCCATTCATTTAGATTCTAACTGCTTTCAGTAGTTTCATAAAAATTTTCAGAATGTAAATTTTGCTTTTTGATACCATTATTAAACAAACTGTTTCATGAATGTCTTTTGTATTATTCACTGAAATGTGGAAATGCTCCTAAATTAACAATAGGGTGATACCTTGATGAATACCTTACAGATATTTCTCATTTAACAACCCAACTGTTTAACAACTATTGAGATTTATGATCAAAGCACACTGTTCGTACTTAAGATCCACCATCTAGACTTATGACTTGCATTTGAACTTATGATGCAGTCAGAGGAGCTACAGTGCAGCCTTATGGTGGCTTCTGTTAGACTACTGTAACTTTGGCAGATTGTACTGTACAGCACAGTACTATAGTTCTACAGTACTACATGTAAGAGTAATGCAAAGTCATTAAAATGGGAGTTTCTTTTGACTTTCTTTGTTCTGGATATTATAACGTACATGCTATATACAATTTCCCATTTTGTGACCAATTCATTTCAAAAAAAAAAAAATAATAATGCATTTAACACCTAAGCAGCATGTCCTGATTGCAGTTAGGGTAGAGCTTTAATGAGACTGGCTTTGGCATCTTCCCCCTCGATTGCTGAAACATAACAATCTGGTATGTCTGAGTGGATCACAAAGGCATGGCCTGGGGCTTTTTCTGGCCCCAAGGCTATCCTCTCCCACTTACTGTGCATCCCAGCTGCTATGAAATAAACAGCTTTGCTCTGCCACACCTATGTGCTATGATATCTCTTGCCTTAAAAGTAGTCAATCATAGGGGCTGGGATTTAGCTCAGCGGCATAAAGCACCTGCCTTGCAAGCAGGCAGTCGTGAGTTCAATCCCTGGTACCAATAAAAAGGAAAAAGACAAAAAAAAAAAAAAAAGTAGTCAATCATGGATAGTATCCCTCAAAACTGCATGAAATCAAATCTCTTCTAAGCTGGGCATGGTGGCACACGCTTGTAATCCCAGCACTGGGGAAGCAGAGGCAGGAGGATCACTACAAATTCAATACCAGCCTTGGCTACAAAGTGAGCTCAAGGCAAGCCTAAACTGCATAGTGAGACCCTGTCTCAAAAAGACCAAAAAATAAATAAATAAATAAATAAAAGAAAAAATGGTGTGGGTGTTGAGTGTTGTATTCCCCCAATGCTATCTTGGTTACTTTCTTCTTGCTAGGACACATTACCCAATACCCACAAGTTAAAGGAGGAAAAGTTTGTTTTAGCTCACAGTTTGTAGAGCCGTCAGCTGGGTCCAAGGTACAGCGTCAGAGAAGAAATACTCTGTGTCAGGGCTGGTAGAAAGCAGCCAGCAACAAGCCTTCAGTCTTAATTTTTCTTGATGGTGAAGAAAAATATCTGATACCTAAAGCTGAAGGAGGAAAGGTTTATTGTAGCTCACAGGTTGTAGAGATTTCAGTTCATAGTTTGCTGGTTCCAAGGCAGGGTGTCAATGTCAGAAGGGAATCTCAGAGAAGAAACTGTCCATGGCAAACCATGACAGGAAAAGGCAGAAAGCAGCAAGGAGCAAGCCACAAGTGACCAAAGCAGCCCTCTTTATGTCCATTATGATCAATCCAGGTTATACACCCTTAGGGTAGCATTCCCACCCAAGAAGGTTTCCCATTATCCACTCTCAGAGCTATGCCAAACCAATTAGTGGATTTAGTAATGACACACCATTGACCCCCATCACATAATTACAGCATCACACACTCTAGACCTGCCACCTCTTAAACCCATCTATGGTTTCATGAGGCTTTGTGGGGGCAAAGTATGTATACACAAATCATACACCTTACTTTTGCATTCTATTCTACGCAAATTATATGTGTATTGGTTGGTTGTCACCTACACAAAGGGTGGGCCTTGCCAATATATACCAATATACCACTAATTGGTATATTAATCAAATATTAGTGGATTAATCAGATATTACATTACCCATAATCCATTATCATGCAGCCATGATGCAGTTTCCTCCCAAAAGCCCCCCACCTATGAGTAATAAAGCAGGGTAAGAGTTGATGGTGGTGCATCTAAACACCTGCCACAACACTCCACCTCTGCTTTCCAAAAGATTCATGTAAATTCCTTTATGCAAATTTCTTTAACAACAGAGTTTCTGAAGTCCTAACAGTTTCAGCAATGATGACAAGTCCAACTTCAAATTCTCGTCTGAGATTTAAGGTAAACAGCTAGAAAGCCTTGTAAAGATGAAAAAAATATTAAACATTTCCAACACACAATGGTATAAACTAAGCATTTCTATTCCTAAAGGTACAAATAAGAGGATGGAAAGGAATGGGACCAAAATCTAGCAGAGCAAATATTAAATCCTATACCTTTTTTTTTTTGGTACTGGGGATTGAACTCATGTACTTGCACTTGCCAGGCAGGCACCAAATCCTGAAATCCAGCACCAGAGCAATCTGTGGCAAGATGTGAACTATAAAGGGGCCCATCACTATGGCAGGGTTGGTGGTTGTAACCTTCATTGCTTCTTTCCTGGGCCAACTTGGCTCAATGATCTATGTCCTTGGCTTCTCCAACTTTCTGGGATCTGACCTGTACTTCTGACTTCACACTCTCACCTTCACACGACAGCCTCAGAGGAGTTACACTGGTAGCCCACCAGATCTTCTGAAAGCTGGATGGAAGCCTTGCTGATCACACAGTTTTCACATTTTGCATGCACCTAAAATCAGCACCATGTGACATCAATGCCTTCAGCCACCTGGAGCAGTAGCAAGGCTTTCTTCTCTTGACTGTAGGAGTAAAGAGCCGGGATTGCTGAGCACTCTGATCCGGAGGAACAAATGCCCAAGGCCATCACCATTCTGAAATATGGTGTTCTAGTTTTTCTTTTCAAAGCAATCTTTCACCTTTTCAGTCCTCAAGTTATCTTTTCTACTGTCCACTTCCAAAATGCTTATCTTTTCAAAGCTAACTGTCTCAGCAACCAGGCTCTCTGCTCTATCTTTGCAGTCAGCAACTTTACTGTCAATGCAGTCCTTGTCCCCAAATGAAACCTCCTGAGCCTGGTCTATTATCAGGAGCATTTCTATCAATATTCTAGTCTTTTGAACTCTGCTCAGAATCAATAGGTGTGGCTCACAGTATTCCAGGGCTGCTTCATCAGTTGGCATCTCTAAACCTTTCCGCATTTCCAACAAGCCAGTTCCAAAGGCTTCGAAATCACACAGCTAAGCAGTGTTGCAATGGTAAACTGAAATCAAAATGACATCCAAGATTTGGATGAACACTAAGAATCTATTGTTCTCGAAAATGTCAAGCCCTAATCTCTGGTGGTCTAGGACTTACAGGGGTTAAGCAAACACAAAGTACAGAGGCAGAATGGCTTGTCAACTGGGGATTGGTTTTTACATATATCACAGTGACCAGCTGCTTCTAAGAAACAAAAGTAACAGGAACTTTAACCTGGAAGTACTACTTGGGCAACTAACAGACAAAAATATACCGGCTGAGGGGTATTTTCTGCTAGTGTCACAGCAACAACTTCAGTTCTCTGATACCAAAGTCTACTGTAGTTACCTTCTCATTACTTGGACAAAATAGCTGACAGTCACAAGATAAAGAGCAGAAGGTTTATTTTAGCTCAGTTTCTAGAGGTTTCAGTCCATAGTCAATCAGCTCCAAGGCAGGGCAGCATGGGAGGAGAAATAATATGGGTATGGCAGGCAGAAAGCAGCCTGCAGCAAGCCTTCCTTTCCCTTTGTATTCCATTCAGGCTATAAGCCTACGAGTTGAGTGTCACCCACACCCAGGGTGGGACTTGCCATTATCCATGCCCAGAACTCTGCTAAACTAATCAGGGAACTAACTAGTTATCACATACCCCATGATCCAGTATCACAGACTAGTGATACAGCCATTTCCCAAAAGCCCTACCTATGAATGCATGAGACTTCAGGATATATATATGACATAAACCATAATAAATGGCAAAATTGACCAATATAATACCCCCAATAAACTCACTGTAAGTTGTGAAACCCTAAATCCATGTACTCTTCCACTCAGATAAAGTGTTGCTTTGCATGGTGGTGCATACCTATACTTCCAGCACTTTGGGGAGGCTGATTACAAATTTAGCTCCTTCTGGCCCATATTTAGCAAGAGCCTATCTCAAAACAAACAAATAAAAAAACAAGGCTGCAGTTGTGGCTAGTGTAAAGGCCCTGGGTTCAGGCTCTACTGCTGAAAAAGAAAAGGAAAGATTCTAGTCAAACTAGTTGTAAAGGGGGTGGGGAGTAAAGCAAACCACTGTAATCTGAAAACTGCTTGTATATGGAAATGTGGAATTTTGTACACTGATGTTTTTCTTAAGGCAGGTTTTTTTTTTTTTTTTTTAGTACTGGGTATTGAACTCATGACCTTATGCCTGCCAGGCAGGTACTTACACCGCTGAGGTAAAACCCCAGTCCTTTAGACAGGTTCTTGTTACATAGTTCAATCTGGCATTGAACTTACTATGCAACTGAGGATGGTCTCAAACTTGAAGCAATCCTCCTACCTCAGCATTCCACATGCTAGGATTACAAACAAATGGGCACTGCCATTCTCAGCTGTAAATTGATCTTGTATCCTGAAACTTTGCTGAATTTATTTTTATTTTTGTAGATTAACGTTCTGTATAGGTTATAATCTTTTCTTTTTTTTTTTTTTTTTTTTTTTTTTTTGTACCAGGGATTGAACTCACTACCTCATGCTTGCCAGGCAGGCACTTATACCACTGAGCTAAATCCCTGGCCTGCTTATAATCTATCTTCTAGGATAAATTTACTTTCTTTTCAGCTTAATGCTTTTATTTTCCTATTCTGGTAGATACTTTGGTATACTGTTGAACTGACTAGAGTAGTCATCTCCTTCCTAATTTAGAAGGAAAATCATTAGTTTACCGTAAAGTATATTACTCGCAGATTTTTCACAGATGCTCTTTCTTTATCTTGGGGGAGGAGTACCAGGAATCCAATTCAGGACCTCCCACTTACAATGCAGGCACTATGCCACTGAGCTACATCCCTCACCCAATGCTTTGTTTTGTTTTTTGAGACAACGTCTTCCTCTGAAATTCAGGCTAGTGCTGTGCTCGCTTCTGTAGACCACGCTGGTCTCAAACTTGCAATCATCTGCCTGTCTCAGTCTTCTGGGATTACAGTTGTGCACCACCATGCCTGGCGCAGACCTGATGCTTTTTAAAAATTTAAAGAAATTCTAAACTTCTACTTTGATGACTATTTTTCATCATAAAAGAATATTCAACTTTTATGTCAAAAACTGCTTTTTAGCATCAGTTAGGATTGATTTTGTGTCTTTGTTCTTTATTCTTATTGATATAATACAATATGGTAACAGATTCTTAAATGGGAAATCAATCTGGAATTCCTGGGATAAATTTCACCTGATAGGGTGGTATACAATATTTTCTTTGTTCTTGGTATTGAATTGCTAATATTTTCTGAGGATTTTTCCATTTGATTCATAAAAGATGACATTCTGTAGTTTCTTGTGATACTCTAGTCTCCTTTTGTTATGATAATAAGAATAACTGGAAACATGATCCTTCTATTACTTCTTCAAAGAATTTGTGAGGAGGGGCGGAGGTTTAGCTCAGTGGCTTAAGTGCCTGCCTGGCAAGTGCATGGTCATGAGTTTGATCCCCAGTACCCCCGAGGCAAAAAAAAAAAAAAAGAATTTGTGAAGAATTATTAATGTTAAGCCAGCAGTGACACATGCCTATAATCCCAGCACATGAGGGGCTGAGGTTGGGGGATTGCTGTAAATTCAAGGTCAGTCTGAGGTATACACTGAGCTCAAGGTCAGCCAGAGTATATAGTGAGACCCCCTCTCAATAAACCAAAAACTAAAATATTTATCTTAAAAGCCAAAAGAATTAGAAAATTTAAATGTATAGTAGAATTCATCAAGAAAGCCATGGGCTTTCTGGATTTTGTATCCTAATTTGATGTCTTTACACGTGATAGGTTTGCTTATATTTTCTTCATTCTAAGTTAGTTTTGGTAGTTTGTATCTTTATATGACTGTATATTTCATTCATTTAAAGCCAGGGCATATCTTAGTATCTTTTCTTGTTGCTGAGACAAAATACCCAACACCCCAAATACCCAAAAAAAGGGAGAGAGGTTTTACTTAGTTCAGTTTTGTAGAGGTTAGAAGCGACAATTCATGGCAGCGGAAGACACCAAAAATAAGGAGAGTAAAAGGGAAAACAAGCCTTTCTGCCCCTTTTATCGTACCCAGACTGCTGGGATTAGGGTGGTGCCAATCTAATCAGTGGACTGATACAGCAGTCACTCATCCTTATTCCCAGCATACTTAATCTCAGCA